GTTCTCTGGTAGTGTGGAGGTTCAGGAACTGGACTACACGTGTTCAGTTCAGGTTTGTGCGATGCGCAGTAGCACCATAACTAAAGGAAGCGCGAAAAGGGCAAAACTAAAGATATCTTATATCATGATATTGAGAAGGAGCGTTCAAGAATGAAATATGTAAAGTGTCTCTGATGCATAAAATGTGAGAGGTCAGCTTTATCATAAGCAAGAGATACCAAAAATCTAGCGACTTAAAAATTGAATGAAAACCTGTTTTAAAAGTTTAGAATTTCCCTCTTTGTTTCCTATGTATTTTAACCTGATTTCTTGTTTATCTGAAATGTCACGCTATCAGCAGGAAAAAACAAAGGAACAACAACACAAATTCTTGTCAGTCATTTGTTTATGAGTTTGTAACACGACTAAGTTAGTTCAGAGGACCAATAACTAAAATCTATTGCTCTATCGCCGGTCTAATGATCTCTCAGTAAATGGACCGGGCACTGTCCCGAATGATCCCGCGTGACCACTCTTGAAGCCCACGCGATCACTCTTGAAGCTGTTTGTTTTATGGCTTACGTTCCTGAAAAAAACAAAAAGAATCCTTTTCTTTTTCTTCCAACTCTCTTTCCCTTCACCTAGTCGGCTCCCAATCAGAATTGCGCGTTTTTTTACAGTCCCTGATAGTGGCACTTTTTTATATACTGATATAAACATATTTAGTCTTGTAATCTCTTATTACTTAACCTATAATACTCGGAACCGTACTGGGACAATATTGACCTTCCGTTTTTTTTTCCTTTTTTTTTTTTGTATCGACCTCCATGCATTCGGTCCGCACTGTCAAGACCTCGGGCCGATATTCTACCAGTACGCCGCCTAGATTGCGGTGACTCCCCATATATTAAATAGTGTATTCAAATCATGACGGAAACAGGGAGGAACGATCATTGGGACAGTTGCTAGCAGAGCATTTTTCATATTCAGACTGCTGTATCATTCTTTTTAATATGTCCTCCTTTTAGCTCTTTGCAACCGTCAGTCCTAATAATTTTAACTAAATCTTTTGCTTACCGCAAACATACATGACCTCTCACACTGAATCAGCGATAATTCTCAGTGAGACTTTCAACACGTTTCACCGGCTGAAGGCTCTGGCAATTTATCTTTATCCTTATTATGATATACGATATCTTTATTTTTGCCTTTTTGCATTCATGGTAGGCTTTATCCATTCGTGTCTCAAGGAAGTGCTGAAACGAGGGCACCTGGCATACGAGCTTTGGTCGAAAATAGCCACACCGTTTCAGCGCTACTTCCTGTAATTTCATAGAAATAGCGAAGCAACTATGCCACCAATGTGCTGAAACCAGGTCAGGTCAAATTTAGGTGTAACATTTTCAGATATCAGCCGATTAAGCCGGAGTGAGGTGGCATTGTACAACCTTCAGATGATATAAAAAGGGTTCGCTCATATGAACCTGCATCCATACTACTTTGCATCAGCTACAAGAGGAAAGAAGACTTGACGCTTTTTCACAAAAGAAAAATGGTAAGTCTATTTTCATTTTGTCATTTGTCTGCTGCTAGATCCATACACAAAAGCAAGACAACAAAATATACCCAGAAATTTTGACGTATTTTCGAGTTAAAGTACGCAAGAATGCATTTATACTGGCGCTAGAAATTATTTCTCATCACTTCTTGAGTTTTAAGTTGTTGCCGGGCAAATAGGCTGTCAAGCAGATGCCTGTTTATTTGATTTTGTGGTAAACATTTCACATTTTGGAGCTGCAAATTAGGTTTGAGTACGATTTAACAATTAAAACTGTAAAGTTTGAACTTAATCTTTCCCGCACGATCACTTGCGGTTTTGAATTGTTTTTCTTCAAGCAACCTGTCTTCTAATTGGATGATCTGCACGAAACAATGGGAATTGACCAAAAGAGGTCACACTTGTGCTGCATGCCGCGGGATCCTCGCTGTAAAACGTTTAGTCGCTAATTCAGTTGATAAGAGAGGATACTTAAAAAAGTTCATTTACCTAATTTTCCTCTTTAGGGTTTCAAATTGTTCATTTTGTGCCTTGCTCTGTTGATTGTCGCTGTGTCTGCCTCGTCAATCTGCAAATGCGGTTCACCTGAGGAAAAGGTAACGGTTGAAGTATAACAACAGATATTTGCTTTCTCTGCCGCATGCGTTTTCATTTGATGTATTTGTTCGTATCCAAGAGCACATGACTTACAGATTAAAACTTGCTTAGCGATTTATGTCAGTGTGATATTAGTTGGGAGGAGATTCTCTGTTTTCTAATATTGATTACTTTCATGGAACTTTCAAGACGACCAAATTCGGACCCAAGCTATCCTGATCCTCTCTCAGTATAATCAGATGAGTTGAAATACATGTCTACCTTTTCGTTCTTCAGGCTTTGCAGGATTCACCTGCTAGTGATCCGGTGAAGAAATACAGATTAAAATTGAAGACAGAAGATGGAAAAGAGGAAGAGGAAGAGGTTGAAATTGACACAAAGAAGGAAACAGAGACTTTCCATGTGCCAAAGACTTCGCCTGATAAAGAAGAGGCAGACGTGGTCATTGACTTTAAAAAGGTTAGTAACTTTACAGCACTGCATGTTCGATTCACTAATTTATAACTTGCTATCGAGGTCGAGGCGAATATCAGAAGTAGGAAGACCTGTTCAGGGAGAGGGGAGGGTACGTGGCTAGTATAAAGATATGATTCATTCATTCGTTATTACTTCCAAAGATTTTCGGCGATATCCAAGGCACAACATTTCGCTTAGCAAGGAGTTCTCTTCGTATATACATTGAAATAAGACGTGTACACTACGTGTAAAGGAACAAGCAGTTAACTAGCTTATGGGTTAAGGCCATTTTGAGTGGTGTGCAAAATGGGTCAATTTCAAGGCAAAATTCATATGACCTGTGTGACATGTTATCTTAGTGTAGAAGCGTTACCTTTATACAACGCTTTCAAATAACTAATGTATTCGAACTTTGCAGAATTTTATGATGATCCGTATGCCAGAGGCCAAATCGTGCTATCTCAGTCTATCAACTGAAAATGTTCCTAAACCGGCCGACTTGGCGCGCCTTCTGGTAAGTTTATATCCCATGTTTCATTGTGATCAATTGTTGAAATTCAAGGTACTCAAAATAAGATTGAAAATTAACTGAAATACCTGTTATTACTTATCCTTCTTACATCATCGAAGAAAATATCTCTAGGCAACGTGCGTGGTAAAATATATTAGCGGGAGAACTGGAAACAACTTCTAAACAGAAGCTTTGGCAATGAGGCAAACATCCACTGTTGTGCAATAGTATTAATTCAGTAGCATGGTTTAATGTAGAACTGGCAAAACAGCTTCCTTATACGTACAGTGTATTTAAACTAGATCTAGTCTTGTTTCCTTTGTCATGCCTACAGATTAGAGATTCTGCACAAAACGTTCCGCGTCGTCTTTAGAAATTTCAGTAATAACTATCATGACTGTACAGTAGTTCAGAGCGTCAGTTTTTTCATTTAATCCCACTAGGACAACGACGCGGGATTTACGATGAACAAAAGTCCACCTGTAGTGAAATTGGAGGCTGTGGGGACTCTTGATGACAATGCACGTGGCAATCTGATTGATGAAATGAAGGATCTGTGTGCAGAGCTACCCATTTATCTTGTTGCCAAGGTAGATAGGGAACCGAGAAGCTTGACCACGGGCAAAGCAGCCGCAAAACGTAAGTGAAACACGCGTACATGTTTTTGAACTCTATCTTCCTTCTCTGTTAAGGAAATTATCAGCGACGCTAAAATTACATAGTTTTTAAAGCCGGCATCAGTATGCTGTGCATCATTAGATTGACATTAATTTAAAAATTAATAGCTATGGCAGTCGTTGACCTCATGTCTGATCTGTATTTTCTTTTGGATTTCGTCCTGTTTTTCACCATCGCCTCACATTGCACGCCTCATAAATCCCCGCTGCACTTGATATCTATCTTTTTCATAGATTAGGAAAAGGCGATAGTCATCGGTCTCACATATACGCAGAAGGGTCAGTGTTTTCTTCTGTTTTTGTGCATCAATCGACTAAATGAGCAGAAAGAGCAGAAATGATTGCAGCAGATTTTGAGCACAATTCGAAAAAATACAAGTTCAATCAGCTATGCGCTCACTTTGCCCTCTCATTCCGAATTAACTGAGCTTTTGATTGTTGTTCTAGGTATCAGACGACACTGTAAGGAAGTGTGTAGAACTGTTACGAAAACTGTTGTTATACTTTGGATAATCAAGTATACCGTTACCGAAACAATATGCACAAACGAATGCGATTAAGTGCGGGGCCCGCCCTAATTTATGCCGGGTTAAAAAAAGAAAGGGCAGAAAGAAGAAATGCCGGCAGGGCAAGCCGGCTTTTCTTCTTTAACCAGCTTTTTTTTTTTTTTTTCGGCTTTTCTTTTTTAACCAAGTGGTTTTTGAGCGACTAAAATCAGTAGAAATTAGGCGTTATATGATCGAGTTCAGTTTACAGTTTTGCTATTAATAAAAACTTTGGAGTCAAGCAAACAGATCAATACATTTTAAGTCGCGCTACAAAGATTTGTTTTAATTTTTTTGGTTTAAAAAAGTAAGATTTTATTTCAGTTTTCTATAATGACAACTCTTTCAAATTATTTCAACGTAACTAAACTTGTTTAAGTGAGCTTGTCGATATGCAATAGCAACTAATAGCTTTAGCAAAGTTGTGATAAATTAATTGTATGTCAGTGTCTTAATTAGATAGTTACCATTTAAAAGCAAATACTGAATTAAACAAAGTTAATAAAGCCTCTTTTTGTGCCACATCAAATCGATTGCTTTTTTTTGCTTACTATGTCTAATGTGTCCAAGTGTTACACTATATATCGAGTCTATATATAGGACTGTTTCGGAGCCATTTTTTCCTGCCGTCTCCTTCTGTAGGTTCATAAAGGTTAATTCGGTGTTCCCTAAAACCCAGAATAAGGGGCCAACTATAAACTGAGCAAAACAAGTCCTTTAAGTTTCTCTTGGTATTGTAGAATCCCAGAAGAAAGGGCCTCCCCCCTCCTCTCTCCAGTATGATTCTACCCCTTCCCTACATCATTGCTCGTCGCCAAACTTGTTCGGTGTGCACGCAGACCTTTCTTCGAGATCATTTCTTGCTTAGTTGTAAAATAATGTGTATCTTTTTTCTTCTCTGTAAAAAGTTTTGAGTGGAAACAGACAGAAAACCAAAAGCAGATTGCGGGGAATTATACTTCTTACAAGCTCTGAACGCAACTAGTTACGCAACGCCTGCGAGTTGTATACCATTTAATATCCCACGATATTTCATATTATTATACCTTTCGGTTCAACTGCAGAGTACCCTGCCACTCAAATTAAGTTCTTTGTAGCCGGCTACGCGGAAACTTCTTAATTCAAGTTGAACTATGTAATTCATTCACGCAACCTCTTATGGTGTTCGGCTTCAAAAGGTCCACAGCAGGAGCAGGGTATTAAGCCCCCCAAAATATGAGGAAATATTTGATAATCAACTTTACGAATAGAGGGTATTCGAAGCAATCGTCAGTTAATGTGTTGTTTAAGAATATTTGGTACCTCTTAGGAAAGAAAAAATTTCAACCCACGCCCACAAAATTGGATCTTGGTACCTCTTGGGAATTCTTTTCAAAAATTTCCAAAGAACACCCACGTCCCTTTTATATCAAAGTACCCCCGGGGAGGGAACTAGGATGAACTCATACGGGTGTGAAAGTCAATGATCCTGGTATGATTCAGGTAAACACTACCCCTCCACGCCTCACCCACCCCTCACAATTTATCTGTTACGACGAGCACCCCCATCCTTTTTTATATGGGAGTCCTCTCCCCCCACCCCCACCCCCTTAGCTCCCTCCTCATATGCCTCTGACCAGGGTGCTCTTCGGAAATTTTGAAATGAGCCCCTAAGAGGTACCAAGATCCTGTTTTGCGATCGTGGCTTGAAAAGTTTTTCACTCCTAAAAGATTCCAAAACAACATACTATTCGGCTCGTCACTGTTTTGGGCTCAAAGCCCTAAAAGGTACTGTGAAAGCTTCCGCTGTGGAGCTTTTGAAAATAATGACAACCTAAAACGAGCCAAAACCGCTTTTTACATGTTACAAGGCACGACGGGCACCCCCGTCTTTTTTATATGAGAGTCTCCCTCAGGTCAGTTTGTTTCAATTGTGTAGTCAATTGATCTTGGTTTTTGGTATCATTTTGCTTATAAGGAATAAACCTGACCTCTCACACTGCATCAGAGACACTTCCGTGACATGTTTCACTCTCGGCGGCTCCGGAAATTTATCCTCCTTCTCATTGTAGTGATATAGGAGATCTTTGTTTTCGTCGTTTATGCACTCCCTTCAGTTATGGTACTACTGCGCATCGCAGAACCCTGAGGTGAACACTTGCAGTCTAGTTCCTGAAGCGCCGCCACGGGGAAAAGAATGTCTAAGTCCAAGATTTGAACCGGAGCTTTGCAGAATTTTATGATGATCCGTATGCCATCGTGCTATCTGAGTCTATCAACTGAATATGTTCCTAAACCGGCCGACTTGGCGCGCCTTCTGGTAAGTTTGTATCCCATGCTTCGTTGTGATCAATTGTTAAAACTGAAGGAACTCGAAATATGATTGAAAATTAACTGAAATACTTGTTACTGCTTATCCCGCTTACATCATCGAAAAAAA